TGCCCAGGTTTGCCTGTTCCTTGGATCTTTCCATCCCAGGGATGGTGCCCTGTTCCTTGCAGGAAGGTAGAATCAGGTCACTTCTCTTTCCATCCTGCTGAAAAGCAAACGGACTTTGTTTAAGCCCAGAAAAAAACCTTTTGGGTGAAGAGTGAGGCAAAAATAAATGAAAATGTTAATTCCCCCTTAACTGACTTCTCACTCTCTGTTTTGGCCCAGTGGAGAGGGACAAATTCTGTGGTGGCTTCCAGGCAGGAGGAGCCCAGCTCTTGGGCTGGAGCATCACTGAAGCATCAGTGGTGACCCCCCACTCTAATTTTGGGGGCTGCTGGACAAAAAAATGCCCTTCTGGGCATCCTCTGATCACACTGCACCTGGGTTTGATCTTCCCATGGGCACCAACACCCAGCAGGCTGTGGGAGTTTTGACCCACAGCATTCCCAGTGTGGAGTGAGCACGGTGTGGACGCAGGGCCTGGTCTGTGTCTCAGCCAAACACGTGTCCTGGGGCTCCTGTTCTCCTTTCTGGGTGGAAATTGCTCCATGGGCTGCCTGCTCCACAGGGCGCTGCCTCTCCTCACTCTCTCCTCGGAGCAGGAGAGCTTTGGGCAACACAACCACAGGATTTAGGTGTGTCCAAAGTTTCCAAGTGGGTTCCATCCCTGTAAAATCCACAGGGAGGGGCAGCAGTGTCGCTCCCCAGCTCGGGAGGGTGTTATAACTGCCCCACCTTGTTCTCCCCAGTCCCCACCCGGTGAAGCCCATCAGCGCCGCGGTGCAGGAGGTCTCTGCTGAGAAGAAGCAGCAGCACAGGTCCAGCCTGACCTCAGCACTGAGCAATGGCCTGGAGAAGCTGAGGACAGTCACCACGAGCAGCGTCCAGCCCGTGGCCCCGACCTCCCACCCGGAGAAAACGGACTCCAAGAAGTTAAAGGTAGGAACCCTCCGCCTCAGAGGTGAGAGCTGCGCCCACACCTGCTCCAGGTGTCCCACAGCCGGGGGCACAGGGGCAAAGAGCTGGTGTTGGAGGAGGTAGAACAGGGTCCTGCCACAGGGTGAGTAATAATCCTGGATCCTGGTAGCTCAGGATGGATGTCAGACTGCCACCAGCCTCCCTTCCTCTGTGACCTGGTCTCTGGACCTTCTCACCCTGTCGTTGTTCTCCCATTGCTTGCTTTGGTTTGGGTTTTTTTATTGTGCAGTGTGTGAGTGAATCCCTGGTTATAGAACCATGGAATGGTTTGGGTTGTAATGAACCTAAAAGACCATCTTGTTCCAACCCCCTGCCATGGGCAGGGACACCTTCCACTAGACCAGGACAACCCTGCTACACCCTTTGTGGTGCCACAGGTAGTTCAGGTTGTGGGTTATGAGTTTCTCAGCTTTTCTGGGGTGAGGTCTGGGTGGGTCCTGCTTCCCTGCGATGCTCCAGCCTTTCCAGATTTGGAAAGAAGACAGACACAAAAATAGGATTGCTCTGGTTGTCGCTGCCCCCTGCAAACGTTAAAGGGAGCGGGGATGTTAATTTGACTCACTGGATGTTCCTCTTGGTTTCTACCACAGGATCCCACCGTGCCGGACCAGTCAGCCAAGTATTACCACTTGACCCACGACGAGCTCATCCAGCTCCTGCTGCAGAGGGAGATGGAGCTGAGCAAGAAGGAGGAGCACATCCATGAACTGGAGAACTACATCGACCAGCTGCTGGTTCGCATCATGGAACAGTCTCCCACGCTCCTCCAGATCCCACTGGGGGAAGGCAACACCAAGTAACCTCTGCCCAGAGACCAGCAGCACTCGCCTAGAGCACTTCTCCAGTAACCATGCTGCAAACATCCCTGCACTCCCCCCTCCTCTTCCAAGAGGGCTCCAGTGGCTTCCGTTTGCAGAGTTTAGCGGGAAAGGTTGTCTGCTCCTTCCCAGCCCAAGCTTCTCCCAGCTCTGGCTCCAGGGAACTGTAGGGTGGATGATGGGCAGTCGTGCACCCTATGGGGAGGAGCAGGGCCCTCCACCTGAGGCAGATTCCACCTTAGGTTCCTGTCCTTGTGACCAAGTGCCATCTTCTCGGGCGCTCACCCTGCCAGTGCTTTAAGTGGCCCATGGACATTTGAGAGCTGGAAACCACCTCGCCCATGGCTTCATCCTGCTGCTGCTGCTCTTCTGCCCACACTCTTCCTCATCTCTCTTCTGAAGTGGTGTCCCCTGGCTGGAGGATGATGTTGAACTGGTTGAGGACAGCGGGGATGTCTAAACCCAGGAAGGCTCTCCCAGCACGTTAGTGACTGCAGAGCAGGGCTGTTGTTGGATGCCTCCTCCCCTTCCTGCCCTATTTACCCCCCAGGATGAAGGGTCTGTGTCTGAAGAGCCAGCTCCAGTTTGTGCCAGTTCCTGACTGCTGGGAGGTGCTACACAAAGGGACAACAATGGAGTTGGAGGCCATAAAGGACTTGATCCAATGTCACTGCCTGACCATGAGCTGTGTTGGCTCCTTCACTCCGTGGGTGCAGAGTGGTGATGCTGCCTCAGCTCCTCAAAACTCAGCTTGCAGCATGGAAAAGTGATGGTCTGTGCACCATGAGGGCTCCAGGAGATCTTCCTGCTTCCCACCCAACCCATCCCCAGCCTGGCTGTGCCTCGAGGGGATTCCTTTGTGTATAAACCACAGCTCAATTTTCTACTGGGTATCCCGTGGGAATTGCTCTCCACGGCTTTCCCCACCGTTGGCTCTGTGTTGTCTTTCCCAACCCAACAGGAAAATGCCACTGGACCAAAGCTCATGGATGTCTGACCGTCTGGCCGCCTCTGCATGACATCCTGTGGGATCAGGCTCCCACCAAACACTCCCTGTCCCAGCTCACATTCCAGGAATCCTGGCAGACCCCCTTCCAGCCACTGTTAGTGCCAAGCACCTCTCCAGCTGGATCACATCCACATGCCAGTGTTGGATCTCTTGGGCCCAGCTCTGCTGGGAGCTGAGTGCTTCCAGCTGCTGACCATGGAGTGACCATCCAAAGGGCTCTGATTTATGTAGTTTAATGAGAATCCAGCACAGATTTGAGTTCAGAGGTGCTGTGGAAGAGGATAGAAAGGATGTTGCTCCATCTCTCATCCTGTCAGGATTTTGTCTAGAGAAGTGATGGAGGGTTGGTTGGTGTGGGATTTGAGCTGTCTTGGCATGTAAGGCATCTTCTCCCTCTTCTGTATCTCCCAAAGTTACTGGATTCTTTTAAAACCTCCATACTCTTCTCTCCTTACTTCCATGTATGCCATGACTTTGAAAAACTGTGCCTTTTGCCATAGGACAGTAGCAGTTTCCTACCCAAAAAGGCTCTGAAATCCAATTCTCATTTCCACACAACCCATCTGGGGACAGGTTTCTCTTCTGTTTTCCCGCTCATCCGAAAAAGTGAGTTTATTTTTACATGCAGAGCCTTCCCACCCCTGTGTGCAGGTACTTTGGGTCCTTGGCAGGAATTCTGCACAGGAAGCTCATGGGACGTGGGAGGCAGAGAGTTTAGGAGATGACATGGGGAGGAAGAGCAGGCCAAATATTCCAAGACAAAATACAGCTGGATAAAGACAGTACTGGGTCAGGAGAGAAGGAGATTTGGTCCTGTCTAGTTAAACCATCATATGAGGGGGAGGATTTGTCACCTGGGAAGGTACCAGCCATGAACTTCCAATTCCTGCCTGCCATGGCCCCTCATATGGAATAATCTGAAGGTTTGCACTTCTCTACCTGTTCCTCTTGTCTTTATGTTCCTCCTCCCTTTGTGTTTCTGGGATAAGACGTGAGGCTCAGAAAGAAGATGCTTCTCCGGTTTTAGAAAGTCCCAGAAATATTTCTCTGCCTGTAGGATCAGATCCCATGGCCTGAGCACCACATTCCCTTTCTGAGTGCCCAGAGAAGCTCTTCCTTTGAGCTGAAGGCGGGCAGGGAGGAGTTGTGGGCAGCTGGAATGCAGTCCAGCCTTGGAAAAGCAGCACGGCACGGCACAGGAACGAGGGCCGGGAGGAGGGGCAGGTGTAGCTCAAGTGGGCATTAATAAGGGGGAGGAGCAGAGCCAAAATCTCACACGAGAATCCCACACTGGCTCCCCACTCCCTAAAAAACATCTGCTTCCTTGGAGCTCTCCCCCGGCAGCGTTGGCTCTGCAGGTGCTCCCCACACACAAGTGCCAATGTTCCTGAGGATCTCACTGCACCTCCTCCCTGCCTTCTCCCCTCCTCTTCCATCGTGTCTCACCACTTCCCTCAGCCCCCTCTGCCTTACTCAGCTCTGCCTTTTGTCGCTCCAAAGCTTGAATGTTTTGCACTCGAATATCTGAAGTTACTCTCAGAGCTCAGCAGGCGGTGCCGGGGGTGCAAGAGGTGCTTCCCCATCTCCTGCCTTTCCAGCAATAGGTGCTTCCCCATCTCCTGCCTTTCCAGCAATAGGAGCTTCCTCACCTCCTGCCTTTAGAGCAATAGGAGCTTCCTCACCTCCTGCCTTTAGAGCAATAGGTGCTTCCTCATCTCCTGCCTTTCCAGCAGTAGGTGCTTCCTCCATATCCTGCCTCTCCAACAACAGGAGCTTCCTCGTCTCCTGCCTTTCCAGCAATAGGTGCTTCCTCCATATTCTGCCTTTCCAGCAATAGGTGCTTCCTCATCTCCTGCCTTTCCAGCAATACCTGCTCCCTCCATCCCTTACCTTTCCAGCAATAGGTGCTTCCTCATCTTCTGCCTTTCCAGCAATACCTGCCCCTTCCATCTCCAGCTTTTCCAGCAATAGGAGCTTCCTCACCTCCTGCCTTTAGAGCAATAGGTGCTTCCTCATCTCCTGCCTTTCCAGCAATTCCTTTTCCCTCCATCCCTTACCTTTCCAGCAATAAGTGCTTCCTCACCTCCTGCCTTTAGAGCAATACCTGCTCCCTCCATCTCCTGCCTTTCCAGCAATAGGAGCTTCCTCATCTCCTGCCTTTCCAGCAACAGGTATTTTCTCAAATCCTACCTTTCCAGCAATAGGTGCTTCCTCATCTCCTGCATTCCCAGCAATAGGTGCTTCCCTGTCTCCTGCCTTTCCAGCAATACCTTTTCCCTCCATCCCTTACCTTTCCAGCAATAGGTGTTTCCTCACCTCCTGCCTTTCCAACAATACCTTTTCCCTCCATCCCTTACCTTTCCAGCAATACCTGCTCCCTCCCATCACCTGCCTTTCCAGCAACAGGTACTTTCTCAAATCCTGCCTTTGCAGCAATAGGTGCTTCCTCATCTACCTTTCCAGCAATACCTGCTCCCTCCATCACCTGCCTTTCTAGCAATACCTGCTCCCTCCCATCTCCACAGGTCAAGGCAGGTCTGGCACTGGTGCCTTGGTGTTGGGTGTGAGGCAGGAGCTGCAGAAGGAACAAGCAGTGATGGGTGTTTTGTGTCTGTCCTCGAGTGTTTGGAAGTCCTGAGGTATCTACAAATCGACTGGTGTTTAGGAAAAGGCATCTTAAAGATGCTCCTGTCTCTGTTCTCTGTTTCTCCACCCCTCTGTCCTGAAAATGTGGGGTTTTCCCCAGCACCCCCCAGATTGATTCTGTCCATCAGAGCAGCAGCTTGGCTACACCACAGCACTGGAACCAGAGTCTGTTTAATTTGTTGTTAGAAGTTCCCAGAGGGAAATGGTTTTGAGGACCTTCTGGAGGGAAGGGATGAGGAAAAGAATTGTGGGGGGGAAATGTTCTCAAGTTGCCCATGTTCTGTCTGGGGTTTATCTCCATAGTTAGTGATCTAAATCTCCGTTTTTTAGCAATTTATTTGGCAGCCCAGGGGCAGGAGCAGCATTCCTGCTCCTTGTTGGAGCCACACAGAGCTCTGTTCCTCTCTGCTGAACCCAGCAGACCACAAGGTTTCGCTGGACCAGCAGCAACTTTCCCCTGGTTCCACTTTAAACACAGCCATAACAATCCCTCTGTGGTTTTGCCTTTCTCTTGGACTCTGTTTTTCCACGCCGTTCCACGTGGTTCCAGCAGGGTGCTGTTGGCTCTGCTTTTGTTGTCAGCCCACCACTGGGTTTCTTGCTTTTCAAGAACTTTGGCCAAGTGATTTTCTTTTCTCCTTGGCTGCTCCTTCTGGTCACAGGCTGGGCCAGAAGAACCACCAAGGTTTATCCTTTAACTGGAACAAACCTGAAGGGATGTGGGTTCTCAAGTGTAGACTCAGCCTTACGACTCGTCTGTGAAGAAACCACCGTGTGTTTCGTGTTTTCATGGGGTGGAAAAACATCCCAAAGTGGGAAAAGAAGCATCAGGGAGGGTTTGGAGTTGTTGATTTCCCTGTACTTCACGTACCAAGGAAGTGGGTTCTGTGCGTTTCATGTTTTAATAGTTGCAACTAATGTTTATAAAGAGCTTGTTATTTACGTTTTCAGCACTTTAAAGAAGAAAAAAAAAAATAAAAGTTGTTCAAGCTGTTCCTAGATACTTCTGATTTATTGACAACAGCGTCTGTGCTGATGGCACTTGGACAGTGAGTGACATTTCTCTGTTTATTTTCTGAAGGAGGATGACGTTGTCCAACTCCTCCAGCAGCTTTTCCAGCTCCTTAACAGTCCCCAAGCCCTGGAACCTCGAGTTCCTCCCCAAATATTGGTCCTGGCTCAGGTGATGGGAGCACCTGAGGGGGTTTAAGAGCCTCTCAGGTGTCTTGTGTGAGTCTTAAAAGTCGTGTTTTGTGCTGAGTAACCCCGTGGAGCTTTGCTGGGATGGCCTTGGGGGATTGGAGCTGGCAGGAGGTGGAGCCGGGTGGGGTCGGGCTCTGCTCCAGGGGAACAAGGGACAGGATGAGAGGAAATAGCCTCAAGTTGCTCCAGGGGAGGTTTAGATTGGATATTGGGAATATTTTTTCATGGAGAGGGTTGTAAAACATTGGAACAGCCTGCCCAGGGCAGGGGTGGGGTCCCCATACCTGGAGGGATTTAAAATCCCTGTGGATGTGGCACTTGGGGACAAGGGTCAGTGGTGGCCTTGGCAGTGCTGGGATAAGGGTTATGATTTCGAGGGCTTTCCCAGCCTAAATTCCATGATTCTGTCTGCCTGCAGCTCCCTTGCTGCTCGTGCTGACTCTACCCCTGCATTCCTGAGGATCTGTGGGAAATCAGCAGCTGAGTAGAGGAGAGGGACCCCAGGGCAGTGTCTTGGAGGGAGAGGAAAGGAGAGCTCCTGTCACATCCCAGACAACACGGAGATCAGCCTCGGGATGCCTGCTGGGAAAACCTGGCTCCATCCGTGCTGCTGCTCCCAGGAATGGGCAATTCTGGGATGATGATCCTCCCTCTCCTCTGCACTGATCCACCTCCCAGACCTTCTCCTGCAGCCCCTCAGCCCCAAATCCCTCCCACCTTTCACCACTCAGCCGTTTTCCTTCTCAGCACCTGCTGCTTTCTCCGGTCGTGCCTTTTCCTTCTCAAAAATCAACTCCCCTTAAGCTCCTGTAAATGACTTTGCTGTTCCAACAGAGGAGTTTCCTTAGCTCTAATCCCAGTTTATTTTTCATCCAGCTGGATCCAGGCCCTTACAGAGCTCAGCACCTGTCCGGGGGGGGATCATGTTAACCCCGAGAGCCTGGATGGGCCTGGCAGGGAAATGTTTGGCACGTTGTTTTGTGGGATCAGGACACTGAGCTGTGACCCTCTGAAAGATGATCCAGCCTAAGGAGAAGCTGGACTAACTGGGCTAACTGGGCCAGTTTGGGCTTCTCCAGGCAGCAGTCACTGGGAGAACTGGAGTCTGGAAGCCGGGGAAAAAGAAGGATTTAAAGTCCTGCTGGAACGCCCGCGTGTGATTCCATCGGGTGTCTCTGCTTGTCTTGAGCACAGACTCAGGACTGAGGGAAATAATTCCCCTCCCTGCGGGAAGGACTGGCTGGGTTTGTTGTTCCAAGCCGGAGTTTTCGCTGCCCGCCTCGAGTTTTCTTAAAATCTGGCTTTGCAGATGGAAGCTGACAAGGAATGTTCCTGTGACTCCCTCCCGGAGCCAGCAGGAAGCCCAGCCCCACTCCCAGCTGTCACGTGTGGGGTGGCTCCCTGAGACCCCCAAATCTCCCTGAGGATGGTGGGCTGACCCTGGGTGCCCCCCAAAGCTGCTCTTGCTCCCCTCCTCAGCTGGGCAGGGAGAGAAAATCCAAGGACAGGCTCGTGGGTCGGGATAAGGGCAGGGAGGGGTCACTCACTGGTTGCTGTCATGGGCAAACAGGCTCGATTTGGGGAAATTAGTTTAATTTATCAATCAAATCAGAGCAGGGCAGTGAGAAATAAACCCAAATCTTAAATCACCCTCCCCCACCCTTCCCTTCTTCCCAGACTCCTGAATTCTCTCCCACAGGGAAGGGGGGCTACAATCATACATTGTCTCTGCTCCTTCCTCTGCAGGGGTTGGACTCTTCTCACTCTTCCCCTGCTCCAGTTTGGGGTCCCTCCCACGGGAGACAGTTTTCCATGAACTTCTCCAGTTTGAGTCCTTCCCAGGGGCTGCAGTTCTCTGTGAACTGCTCCAGTGTGGATCCCTTCTTCCAAGGGATCAGTCCCTCGGGAACAGGCTGCGGGATCACGAGTCCTGCCAGGATCCTGCTCCAGTGTGGGCTCCCCTCTTCATGATGCTCCTGCCAGGACCCTGCTCCAGCGTGGGCTTCCCATGGGATCCCAGCCTCCTTCAGGCATTGCCCTGCTCTGGTGTGGGGTCTCCATGGCTCCCTGTGGATCTCTGCTCCCCTTGGACCTCCATGGGCTGTGCAGGGCTACAGCTGCCTCACCACAGCACCACCGTCTGCCAGGGAATCTCAGCTCCAGCACCTGGAGCACTTCCTGCCCCTCCTGCCCCTCCTTCTGCTCTGGGCGTCTGCAAGGTTCTCCTCTCACATGTTCTCACTCCTCTCTCCCTCTGCTCTTCCACACCAGTTTACCCTCTTCCTTCTTCCTCATTTTATCCCAGGGGTTCTCCCACCATCACTGATGGGCTCAGCCTTGTCCAGCGTCCTGGAGCTGGCTGGAATTGGCTCCGTGGACGCGGGAGAAGCTTCCAGCACCTTCCCACAGAGGCCACCCCTGCTCCCAAAAATCTCCCAGTTTCTAGACGAGCTCACATAACGCCCGTCGTTGAGGGTTGTTCCCCCTCCAGAAAAAAATGGGAAGAAACTTCATTGTTGACTGAACAGTCGTCGATCCGGGGAAACAACAACCCCTCCTCTCCTTCCCCAATCCAGGGAAACGCGAGTTGTCAGTCGAAATGGATCTGGTTGGATTGATATCAGCCAAAGAATTGATATTCTTTCTGGTATTTAACCAAAAAAGTGATAGTCTTATGTCACTCCAAATGTGGTTTTAGATAAACAGATTCTCTCCCCTCTGTTGTTACAAAACATTTCGCGTGTCAACATTTAGGGACTGTATCAATTATCTGGCTCGAGCTGCGAGGGGAGGGAGGGGGGGTTTTCCCTTGTGAGAGGGATTTGGGTTATCATCCATATTCATGGGAGAGATTCTGCCGCCTTGGGAAGGACGGGATGGAACCTTCAGAGAAGGGAGAGTTG